GTTCTCATTATTTTCGACTTGGCTCTGTGCAGACGTGTTTTCTGTCGTGTCTAAAATACTCAGCCATGTTGTGCATTCTGGCGTAGTTTATATAGTTTTCTTTTGTTCTTCCCCATCCGGACATTGATCATGACCACCGTAACAGAGACACACACTCCTGCTCGTTGTCCCCTCTCTGCTCTGTGTTGGGGGGGGGGACAGGGAGGCCGTGCTCCCCGAGGGCTTTGTCCTCGGACCCTGAAGTCGCCAGGCAGGTCGCTCCCTCATTCAGCGTCCGGGCTCGAACAGTTCTTCTTCTGTCCCTGGGCTCGCGGAAGTCTCGTGTTCTGCGTCAGACGCGTTGCGAGGGGTGCTCAGGTGTTGGCGAGCTTGCGGAGCTGTTTCAGGGCTGGGGGCACCTGGTGCCTCCTCTTCAGCGGGTTCCCTCCCTCCGCTCTGCTGTCCTCTCCGCCCCCCACACCCCACCGGGCCCCAGCCCCGGCCCCGCCCCGCCCCGCCCCGCCCCGCCCCGCCCCAGGAAATCTGCGTCGTGGACGTGCTGTGCCGTGGTGGCGTGAGTGCTGACGTTCAGCGCGTACCGCCCATCCGCCTCTGACTCTGCGCAGCCGGATGTCCGGAAGTGGGGGGGGGCGTCCTCCAAGTCACGTGTCTTGTGCTCGTCCTTCCCGTCCTGACTTCAGGGGTCCAGGAGAAGATGGGCATCATGAACAAAGGCGTCATCTACGCCCTGTGGGACTACGAGCCGCAGAACGATGACGAGCTGCCCCTGAGGGAAGGGGACTGCATGACGGTCGTCCGCAGGGAGGACGAGGACGAGGTGGAGTGGTGGTGGGCGCGCCTGAGCGAGAAGGAGGGCTACGTCCCGCGCAACCTGCTGGGGGTGAGTGGTCCCCGCCCTGGGCTGTTCTGATGGGGGTGGGGGTGGGGGTGGGGACGGGGGGGGGGCGTGGTGGCTCTCGGAAACCGCCGTGTGTTACGGTCACAGTGCAGGCGACAGACGGCTCTTCGTTAACGAGACGTGGAATGTAAAAATTCGGAAGTCTTAGATTTGGACTAAAAGCCACGTTTTCAGTGATTCCCATTCGGACCAAACAGCACGTTTCGTTTCTGTGCTCGCCGGCCCCCAGGGCCCGGGGCTCCGCTCTGCGGGGACGAGCAGAGGGACGCCGGCGGGCTCGTGGGACGGGCACCGGGCTGAGGACAGCGGAAGTGAATTTTCGTTTGTGTCCGTCGGGATTTGCGAATCTGTGAGCAAGCAGTGAGCTTGAACGGGATTCTTGGTGCTTGCTCTCCTATTCGATGTTCAGTTTCTTAAAAGCCAAGGAAGTGATGAGGCCGCATCAATGAAGGACACAGGGAGGGAGGGCGTCATCGGGGGAAGCTCCTCGGGAGCACGTCGCTGCAGCTCGGGGGTGTCGCTGTGTAGGGCCCTGGGCCTTCCGAGTGTCCCGGCAGGGGCGCTGGCCGGGAGAGTCTCTGTGTCCCCAGGCAGCTCTGGGGCCTCACGTGGCAGAAGGAGCCCTTTCCTTAGCTTCACCCCTTCCTGCTGCATCGCCCCTTCCCCCAGTAGTTCGTGATTTTGTTAGACTCCCACCTGTTTGTACTCACGTAAATATTTTCTGAACTCTCTTACAGCTCTACCCAAGGATTAAACCAAGACAAAGGAGCTTGGCCTGACACTTTATAGAACTGTAGTCGATGAAGAATTAATCTGTCATCACTAAGAAGAAGTAATAGGATTGTCTGGGGCACAAACTCCACGAGACTTATTTTAACGCCCGTGTAACTTGAAAGGCAGGAAGACCGAGCTCTGGGAGGAAGTGGGGGACTGAGGAAGTCGCCGGCAGTGGAGGACACCCGGCCCCATGCAGTGGGGCTTGTGACCACGCTGGCCTTCCCGCACCGGGGAGGCTGCCCGGGGCACACGCGGGGTCCACGGTACCAGCCTGATCTCCGCAGGAAACAGGGCCACGTACTGGGCAGCTGGGAAGTCAGCCTTGTGTCCTGCTGGAAAGGACCAGTGCCATCACGGCGCCACCCCGGTTGTGCCCAGCACCGGCTGGCCCCCGGGCCCCACAGGGGCTCCAGCTGGCCGCACACTGTGCGTCCTCCGCGCAGGGCGGTCAGTTGGCAGCCGGTGAGCAATAAACTTACTGTATGAGTTCTTGTAGCATTTGCAGAATGATACCTATTTTGAAATACTGAAACGAAGCTACACTACAGATAATTAGGTTGAGAATCTTGTTTTTAGGCTGAATTTGAATATTTATTGCCTTTTGTATCTCAGAAATTAGACACTCGGTATAAACTTACGTACACTATTTGTCAAGATCATAGCCGACCTTAAAAACAATTGTAATGAAATTAAACTTTTTGACTGTAAGGTTTTCTCTGGTGTCAGTTTTCCGTGTCACACACGCACACGACCTTGTTTAAGGTCACAAGCCGTGGAGATCTTGTCCCCAGGCAGAAAATGAGGTTTACCAGCCACGTGATGAAATGTGAGAAGTGTTTCTTTGTTTGGAGAAGATGCTCCGTTTTGCAATCCATGAGTTTGGTAATGGCCTTTGGTAGAGAATTTGGGTTTTGCTTTTGTTTTTGTTTCTGAAGATCTCAGAGACCGTGGGGATAAAAACAGACCGTGTCCTCGTTTTGTTTTCCGTTTCTTCAGAGTTCCGCAAGTGATCTTGGGGACGGCAACGTACACAGACAAAGGCTCCATGGTGTTTTATGTCACCAAGTTCGTGACTGGTTCTGGAGCCCGTTTTGCTTAGTGGAACTATTTCATTTCATCGAAGATGCAAATGAGAAAAACCAGTGGTCCCTTTTCCTCACACATTTTTAAGAAAGCTAAATGCAGCAGGAAAGGCAGAGAAAAGACAGAACACACGTCTTTCAGAGTGACGGAGCAATAGTGATGCCCTGAACTAATAAATGTCAGGGGACATGTACGTGGACAGAATTCTAACCCTCCCCCCACATTCCTGCCCCTGGTGCCGTAGACTGTGTCCCTATAAAATTCATGTGGAAGCCTGACCCCCGGTGCCCTGGTGTTTGGGGGTGTGGCCTTTGGTGGTAGGTTTGCATGTGTGGGGGTGGGGACCATGATGGGGTCCATGTCCGTGTAAGTTGCAGGGTCAGAGCTACCCCCTGCCCCCTGTGAGGGTACGAGAAGGCTGCCGCCTGCCGGCCAGGAGGAACATCCTCGCCAGACACCCAATTTGCTGGCACCAGACACCCAGTTATCTGCTGGCATCTCAATCTTGGACTTCAGCCTCCAGAACTTCGAGACATATATGTCTGCTGCTTATGCCATCAGATCAGCAGTGTTTTGTGACAGTGCCCCGAGCTGGCTGAGACACCCGGTTCTTCCATCCAACACTAAGTACCGTGTGAGGGACCTTTCAGATTGAATTAAGTTTACTAATCCACTGGGCGTAAAACACGGAGAGCATCCTGCAGGAGGCAGGGGGCCCGGCCATCCCATGAGCCCACAGAGCAGGAGAGGGAGGCAGAGCGGCAGGCGGGGACCCCTGAAGTGTGCAGAGGACTCTGCCTGCCATCACCGGCTGTGAGGATGGACAGGCTCACGACCCACTGAAGGGGGGTGCTGGTCACAGCCCCCCCCAGTGACAGCCAGCAAGAAATCGGGGGCCTGGGCCAACCCGAGTGGGCCTAGAGACCTCCTCCTCAAGTCTCCAGTGAGGAGCGAGGGGGCTGGGTGAGACCCAGGTGAGACCGGCCCTGGACTCTCACCCACGGAACTGGGAGAGAGGGGGCCTGTCTTAGCCTCCAGGTCTGTGCTCACGTGTTCCCGCTGCAACAAGAAGCTGATGCCAAGTGGTTCCCGTCCAGGGCTGGTGGCCTTGCTGACCCTCACGTGACCTGGCCTGGGGCCCTCGCCCTACCACCAATCAGACCCCCGTCTTCCTGATCTGAAACGGGCTCGAATCCCATCGCCCCTGTGCCAGTCGCACGGCCGAGGGAGGCCGTGTGAGGTGCTGTGTGTGAGTGCACTCGGTGGTACGTTAAAGACCACAGACTAGGAAAGGGGAGACGTGAAAATTAGGTAACACCGCCATCTCCCTTTCGTTTCTTTAGCCCTAAAGTTTGAATGTCATTGGTTTTCCTTCTCCCTTTTTGGTTTTTCACTTATCATCAGAGTATCCTCATTTCAAAGCTCCTTGTAGAGATATTTAAAAGTACCGGAAAAGGGCTGTAAAGTGTTGTGTGTGTGTGTGACACACCACTATTAACACTTGGGCATATTTCTTTGTTTTCGTCTTGTCCGATTTTTCCAACCACTTCACTCCCCATGCTCCTGCCCCACCCCGGCCACACTGCCGTTGTGCGCATTCAGTCCGCAGTCACTCGAACGCCTGACTCCAGCCCCACACCGAGCTGCCGGGTGGAGGGGACCGCGTGCCCCAGGGGATCACTGGACTTCACATGCACGGTCTCGTTCACACTCAGTCACATGCACAGTCTTCTCTGGACCCTCGGACATCACGCACGCACCGGCAGAACTTAAACTCATTGGAGGTGAATTGGGGAAACCCACCTTCCTACCTTTTGCTGAAGCGGGAGGCTGGCATTGACCTGTTTCCAGTCCTCTTGCGTCCTCGCCGTTTGTGGGACCCTGCAGGATCACCGACAGCAGGCCAGTGACGCTTCTGCCTGTCTGCTCAGCTCTCCTGTCCCCACACCAGTGGGAGCCAGCCAAAGTGAGGTTCCAGCGGGAGGAGGTGCTGGTAAAGTGCCCGCACCAAGGACAGGTCAAGGAGCAGGAGACATGAGAGCTGCCCCACTCAAAGGCCCATTATGAGAGCTTCTGAACTGGATTTGAAAAAAATGCATAGTTCCATGTGGATGTGATAGGTCAGACGCCCTTTCTTCCCAGTGCGGGAGTTCAGGGGTGTCACGCCTTGAGAGAGAGGAAATGCTGTGGGGGGGGGGTGTATACCCAGTGAGGGTCCCTCCAGGAAGGACAGCACACCGTGTGGACTGCCCAGGCAACTCTTTATTTAACAGTACATTTGTCAGAAGGTAAGGCAACAAGGCAATAGTTTTACGAGGTTAGCGTACTCCCAAGGCAAAGCCATGAAACAAGTTCGTGTCGTTTCTACAGACATGGCGCCTGTCCCCGCAACTCCATGCACAGAGGCTGCAGACGGCCAAGTTTGGGAAGTGCTGGGGTGGGCCGCAAGTGGTTCGGTCCGTCGTCCTCACGGCTGGTGCGCACACGGGATGCCTGGCTGCCGTGGGCGGCTCCCGCTGACCAGGAGAGGAGTCCCTTCAGTACACAGGACACTCAGGTTTCGGAAGACTCGCTGCTAACCACTCGGTGCCCTCTGAAACCTGTCTCTCGTGTAACTCGGGTGACAGAGGCGAGCGCTCTCACCTGGCTTCTTCAGATGCCTTTACAGGATCACTTCGTGACCGTCCTATTTTTGATGTTACTCCAGGGAAACGATGAGCCCTGAGCTGCTGTTTGGTAACTGTCACAGCTGCGTTGTTCAACTTGACCTTGCTTTCAGTGTTCCCAGCAAGGACCTCGTGTCCTTTGAGAGCGACCCAATGTTTGCTCAGCTGTTAAATACCTCCCTGCACTATTTTCCTGGTTTCATATTGCTCTACACAGGACCGTGTGTAAAAGTAAAAAGTGTATACTATTTACAGATTTTAAGCTTTCTTTGAGCTTGTGGAGGGTTAAGCGACTCACTCGCATTTAGTCTAATGATATGCAATTTTTTTACTATCTCAAATAGTATTATTTTTAGCTACAATCATTGGTTTAAGTAAATGTTCCCATAATCAAGGTCCAGATAAAAAGTTTCTCTGTGGAAGCTTAGTCCATGGCTGACTTTCTTTAATGGGATGTCTTCGGGCAGGTGAGTTACAGCTTCAAAGCACCGAAAAACAGAGCCACTGAGAGGAGGGAAAAAATCAGTTCAGTGACTATTTTTAAAATCAAAGGCTATTTAAGTACCTGTAGATGATTGTTCCAGAAGGGCTGAGCAAGGCGGAAGCTATCAGGGCACTAACTCCCCTCCTTCCTCCCAGACTTCTGGAGTCCAGTTCTTTCCAGGTGAGTAAGAGGCTGCTGTTTGGGACTTCTGGCCAAGATGGAGGCGTAGGTAGACACACTGTGCCTCCTCGCACAACCAAGATAGGGACGACAACAATTTAGAAACAGAATAACAACCAGAACTGACAGAAAATTGAACTGTATGGAAGTCGGACAACCAAGGAGTTAACATAGGCTCGTTCATCAGTCCGGTAGGAGAGGTGGAGTCAGGCAGCTGGGCAGAGGCGGGTCTCGGAACGAAGAGCGTTGGGACCGGGCGCATAAGGCATCCCAGGCGTGCAAGACCGCATCGGCGGACCCTGGGCGTGCAAGCGGTAGCTGGCAGACCCGGGCCGAGGGGTGGCAACCTGCAGACCCAGCAAGGCGGTGATTGTGAAGCCAGGCACTACGCACATGGCAGCTGGCTGACCGGGCGGTCCCAGGGTCCCAGCGCCGGGAAATAGAACCTTGGGGCACTGATTGAAAACACCTGTGGGGGTTGGCGTGCAGGGAGAGACTCGCAGCCTCACAGGAGAGGTTGTAGGAAAGACCCTCGGGGTGCACAAGCCCACCCACCGGGGAATCAGCACCAGAAAGGTTCAGTTTGCTTGGGGGAAGTGGCGGAAGGGACTGAAATCGGCAGAGAGTGGAGCAAGCGCCATTGTTCCCTCTCAGGCCCTGCCCCCACATACAGCGTCACAACCCGGCGACTGGTGGGGCCCTGCCCTGGTGATCACCTAAGGCTCCGCCCCTCATACGTAACAGGCTCGACCAGAGCAAAGAAAGAAAAAGATGGCTCAAACTGAAGAACAAATGAAAGCCCCAGAACCAGTACTTTTAAGTGGCTGAGAGATAGCCCACCTATCAGATATACAGTTCAAAACACTGGTGATCAGGATGCTCACAAAATTGGTTGATTTTGGTTGCAAATTAGATGAAAAAACAAAGGCTATAATAAGTGAAATGAAGAAAAATGCACAGGGAACCAATAGTGATGGGAATGAAACTGGGATTCAAAACAATGGAGTGGACCAGAAAGAAGAAAGAAACAACTAAACAGAAAAGAATGAAGAAACAAGAATTCAAAAAAATGAGGAGAGGAACCTCCAGGACATCTTGAAATGTTCCAACATCTGAATTATAGGGGTACCAGAAGGGGAAGAGGAAGAGCAACAAGTGGAAAACTTATTTAAACAAATAATAAAGGAGAACTTCCCCAATCTGGCAAAGGAAATAGACTTCCAGGAAGTCCAGGAAGCTCAGAGAGTCCTAAAGAAGTTGGATCCAAGGAGGAACACACCAAGGCACATCATAATTACACTAGCCAAGTTAAAATTATGGAGAAATTCCAAGAAGCAGCAAGAGATGAAGAGGCAGTTACCTATAGAGGAGTTCTCATAAGACTGTCACCTGATTTCTCCAAAGAGACCTTACAGGCAAGAAGGGGTTGGAAAGAAGTATTCCAAGTCATGAAAGGCAAGGACCTACATCCAAGATTGCTCTATCCAGCAAAACTTTCATTTAGCATGGAAGGGCAGATAAAGTGCTTCTCAGATAAGGTCAAGTTAAAGGAGTTCATCATCACCAAGCCCTTATTTTATGAAATGTTAAAGGGACTTATCTAAGAAAAAGAAGATAAAAAAAGATAAAAAACATGTATAGTAAAATGACAGCAAACTCACAATTATTAACACACCTAAAACAAAAACACAAAATAAGCAAACAATTAGAATAGGAACAGAATCACAGAAGTGGAGAACACATGGAGGGTTAGCAACAGGGGAGTGGGAGGAGGAGAGAAGGGGAAAAGGTACGGAGAATAAGTAGCATAGATGGTAGGTATAAAATAGACAGGGGGAGGGCAAGAATAGTATGGGAAATGTAAAAGCTAAAGAACTTATGACACATGGACATGAACTAAAGGGGGGGATGTGGGTGGGACAGGGTGTGCAGGGTGGAGGGGAATGAAGGCGGGTAATGGGACAACTTAATAGCATAATCAATAAAATATATTTTAAAAAGAGGCTGCTATTTGAACCACGTGGTCGTGGACTGGATTACGGGGTTGACAGAGGCGCCTGAAACGTGACCCTCAGCCAGCATCTGGGTCATCATTTCTCTCTCTGCTTTGTCACACCAGAGGTTAGTTTGTGTGTGTGTTGGTGAGTGGAAACCCCTTAAACTGGTGGTTTTCAACCTCGGTTCTTCGCTGCAGTGACCTGGGACCTGTGAATCAGGTCCGACCGAATTGCTCCGGGATGGGCCCAGACAATAGGGCAATAGGCCAAGTGGGCCAGGCGATGCCCCTGCAGCCACGGCTGAAAATCACAGCAAACGGAGGGGGTGGCTTTCTCGTTAGGAAGACTCGAGCGGGGGGACCTCTGGGGGCCTGCGAAAGGGGAGGCTGAGGCTCGGAGGGAGGGCCAGGGGTGAAAGCGTTTCTCCCCGGAAATGGGGCCGGTGGCCGAGCTGGCCGGCGCACACAGGGGGACCAGTGGGTGCTGGGGAGGAACAGGGTTCCCAGCAAGAATGATAAAGGGGCTCGAGTTTCCAGAACTTCCCAGGTGGCACGTGTATGCCGCAGGTGCCCTGCCTTTACTTGAGATGGCAACGTCAGGGTAGGGCCAGCTCCTAGGCTACGTAGTTTCAAGCCAGTCCGTGTTACTTGTCACCAGCTAAAGTACACTTTCAGTTGGCGAAAGGTACTTAAAATGCATAATAGAGCAAAATAGCTATTTAGTTGCTGGCTTTCTCTAGAGTTCAAAGTTCTAGGAGGAGAGTTGCCTTCTTACCACTTTGTTCCTCTGGCACATGGGAACTTTGTCACCCTGTCCCGTCCCCCGACCCCAGCCCTGCCAGCTGACCTGCCCTCCGCAGCCTGTGGTGCCGCAGGCTCGGCCCCGCCCCTGAGCACAGAGGGAAGGGGGCCTGAGACCCAACGGGGATGAAAGCGTGACCTAGCTGGCTTCTTTCTTTGATGTGCGAGAACTTTCTGCCATCGGGATGACATGGGAACATTCTGGGCTTCGTGTTTAAAATGGTGCTCCGACCTCATTTGCGTTGATGAGCATCTCAGCGGTGGGCATTGCCAGAGTTCTAGACCCCTGAGCACCATCATTCTAGATGGCAAGCTTCTTTACTATTGCTAGTTTTACTTACAAGGGGGGAAGGAGGGGAGGAAAGTAATTTCCTCAGAAACTGTTTTAAGTAGCTCTGTTCTAAGAGTGCCAGATCTTCCCCACACCCTCTTGAATTTCATCTGAAGGGCTCCCTGCCATAAGCACCTTCTCCTGTGCTTGCTAATGAGCAGTGCATGTTCCTAAGAGGGACCCTGAGCCCCTCCCCCTTCTTTTAACCTGTGCTACACTCACGGCAGAGCTCCTGGGGGGAGGGGCCAGGTGTGTTTTCTTGGCCTCCAGCATCACTAGGTAGCTGGGAAAAGACTGCAAATAAAAATGCATCGTGGGATCTGAGACTCGTTCATAGGCCTGTCCCTGGCCGACCGGGAGAGTCTGTCAATAATCCATGTCAGTGAACCACAGCTCTCCGTCCCCTGAGGGATGTGAGGCGGGAGGGGCAGGCGGCCGACTTACGGAGATAAGGTCCAGGGAGATGGTTCCAGTGTTCTCGGGGTCTAGCTGCTTGAATATCCCTGCGGAGGAGCAAATGCAGGCTGTCACGAGGGAGCGAGCCGCAGCCGAGGTCCCGCTGTCTCGGTCCCCCATCCGGCAGCCGACTCATTGAGTGGCACGGCTATCCTTTCTCCTTCCCTCCCCAAGTCAAAGGGTCTCCATGCTCAGCCGGACAGACGTGTCTCCGGTTCGGGTGATTCCCGCCCCCGTGAAAGGCAGGCTGCTTTAACACCAAGAGAACTGACACGGCGGTCCCCCAGCCAGCCACTTACTGAAGAGTGTTTCCAGTCGAACCAAACACCGGACAAAATTATCGAAGTCGATGATGAGGTCGTCGTCCGCGAAGCGAGCGACGATGACTTGGTGCAGCTGGCAGGGCAGCTTGAAGCCTGCGGTTAAAGGAACAAGCACGCGGATCGCTAAGGCTGAGCCTGCTCTGTGGAGCGCGGCCCCGGGCGATGGAACCGAAGCGGCGATTCACATCACAGTTAGACCTGCTTCTGTCCCCTGGCTGCCCTCCCGGGAGGCTGGACTGCTTGTGCAAAGCCAGGGCCTCCTGCCATTGTTTCTGAACGGTTCCCCGTCACCCTACCGGGCTCCTTCCCGACCAACACAGAAGACATTTCCTGGCTGTCCCCATTGCCACAGTCACTCTGCTTCAGGTGGTGAATCCTACTTCCTCCCATTTGTTTAGCTCTGAATCATTTGGAAACTGGCGTCTTCTTGGAAGTGTGTGGCAGGAACTGTTCATGGTAAACTAATATTACTTCCTTCTTTTCCTCCAGTAAGAGAATTTTTAATGGGTCTTGGTTGCCTAGAGGCAAGGCCGCATTTCCCAGCATCCCTTGCAGCCACCCGAGGCCCCATGACTAAGTCCTGGCAGGGGAACAGGCGTGCAGAGCCACATGTGCCCTTAAAGGCAAGGAGCCCGTCTTTCCCTCCCCCCATCCTGGGTCCCATGGATAACGGCGACATTCTAAGGCCTGGTGACAGAAGAAGCTGGATCCCTGCCTGCAGGCAGCACCATTCTGGCCTTGAACTTCTTGAGCTTGGATTGTTAAGTGAGAAAAGGGTGGATCTTGTTGAAGCCAGTTATTTGGGGTCTTTGTATAGCACTACATCCCAGCTACTACAGTGAACAACCTCATGTTGTCCTCTCTGTCCCCAAAACACAGCTTCTCCCCTCCTGCTGGTCTCCCACAGGCTTACGTCCCTTCTCTTGATATCACATCTGCCAGGGACTGTCCCCTAAGAGTGGAGCACAGACATCGAATTTCTGCCTCACCAGCCCTGTCCTGAAAAGAGGAAACTGGGGGGCTGCTGAGAACTGGCTTTGCCTGCTTGACCTACTGCTCAGAAGGAAATTTAGATTCAAGATGGCTTTGCAGGCAAAGCATGCTGGACTCATCCTATTTCGCCAACTGGTCTCTAAACAGGGAATGAAAAGGGTGTCTTTGTGCTAAAGCAGCACCTACTTACTGAACTTTGGACTGAACTGCACCTGTCACACAGTCTACAAAGGGGACAACAGGACACATGGTCGTGGAGCATTACCTGCTTCTTCCAACGCCTTCCGCATCTCGTAGGAGTTCATGGTCCCAGACCTGTCCACGTCGATTTCCCGGTAAATTCTCTGGAACGTGCAAAACAGTTATGAGAACCACGACCCCAAGCAGGCGGCGGGCCCCCTGCGTGCCACGTGCTGAGAGGGGATGGCGCTGTTCCAGTCCACGCCCCCGGGCTGGCCTTGGGAGGGCCGCCATCCTTCTGCCTTCGATAGCTCCACCTCTCAGTGGGAGCTGGTTTCCAAGTCTGCCCATCACACCGTCCAGCCAACTACCAGGGGCCCATGTGATTGTCTTATGTGATTTTATAACACATAACACAGAGGCGACACAGCCTTCCGATGATGACTATCCGGTGACCCCGTTCTGGTCAAGGACGGGACGGCGGGAGCAGACCACTGGACTCGCACGGTCCTCATTTTGTCCCCCGGGCCCTGCCCGGCTCTGTCTCCACTCATCCTGAGCTCCCTCCCTGGTGGGCTGAGTCCCCAGCCCCTCGGAAACACTCCCCGACCCCCTGAAGGTCGCTGTGTCTGTCTGCAGGTCCAGGCCCGGCTCAGCCACCCCGCGGATCCCCCGCAGACCCCCACCCCTGCCTCGGCCCCTCCTGGGTTCTCACTTGGTACTGTTGAATCTTCTTCCAGAGAACGTAGAACTCCTTCAGGCCCAGCTTACCGCTGCCGTCGGACTGCCCGCGGTTAAGGAAAGCCCCGGAGTCTGAGTGCCTGCAGCCCCTGGACATACATTCTGGAACCACCAGGGCTCTTGCGGAAGGACCCCCTCCTCGGGGCTGCTGGAAGGGGCGCCTAGACGCCTGCTGGCTCCCCTTGACTCTGCTTGCTGATGGGTCCGGGGGGGCCCTGGGGGCCCCGGGTCCTGCTACAAAGGAGCTGTCAGGTGGCTTCTAGTGGCTTGCTGACTCAGGGAGTACTTTTGGCATATTTCTAAGAGGCCTTCTGTGAGGGGAGCGGCGCAGTGGGTGCCGTGCGCCCACTAGACAGAACTTCTCAGAAGCTCGGCCGTCTCTGCCCAGCACTCCTCAGCGGCATCAGGAATAAGTGGTGGTGGTGGGGGGGACACAGGCTGAGTCTGCCCCCGGGGCAGGTGGGGGGCCCGGGGTGGGGGTGCTGGAGCAAAGGAGAAGGAGAATGTGTGTGGGGAGTGAGCTCCGTCTCTATGGATCAAGAAGAAAATTATGGCCAGATTCACAAAATATCATAGTTCAGGGAATACAGTGGCCCCTTGAACAACATGGATTTGAACTATGTGGGTCCATTTATACGTGGATTTTTTTCAATAAATACACACAGGACTGTAAGTGTATTTTATGATTTCCTTAACATTTTCTTTTGTCTAGCTCACTGTAGCGGAAGAATAGAGTATAAAATGCATATAACGCAAAATACGTGTTCATCAGCTGTTCGTGTCATCGCTAAGGTTTCCGGTCAACAGCAGGCCATTAGTAAAGTTTGGGGGTGTCAAAAATTGTACGAGGACTTTGGATTATGTGGGGGGCCGGTGCCCCTCGCTGCTCAAGGGTCAACTGTGTTTTCCTCAAGGAAGTAGCGGACATACTGTCACCTCGGGAGACACATCTAAGCTATGTCGGACGGACAGTGGTGGACGGGCGGGCTGTCGGGGTTTCCCCGCCCCACCCTTGGGGACAAGGGCCACCTGCCCCAGGGTAGCCAGGGTGTGAGGCAGGCCGCTGTCCCTCATCTGAAGCCACACATGATCCCTGGTGACCACAGCCCTGCACCCACCCCAGCACCGGCCTTCGTGGAGGGCGCAGTGCGGGCACCTCTGCGGGTGAAATGCCAACCCCGCCCCCCCATCCCCCCACCCCCCCGCCGTGTGCTCAGCGGCACGTGCCAGGATACGTCCAGCATGTCGACCATGATCTTGCAGGTCTCGATGCTGAAGCCGTCTGACTTGATATCTTGGCCTAGAAGACAAGGTAAAACCTCCTGGAGGTTGTCTACGAAGACGGCGGGGTTCTGTGCCTGCACCTTTTGAAACTGTAGCCACTCAAATGACACGTGAAGTAGCCACACCCGGCGGCGGCGGGCTGCCATGCTGGGCCGGGGCGAGGGGGCGCACTGGCCTGCCGTCTCTGTGTGTTCGCCCTGGGCAAACCGGGCTCTCGGCAGGGCTTTTCAAATAAGTAAAAATGATAAATGGCCGAGCATGTGCCCCCAGGTGCAGAACCGCCGTGGGCGTCAGGCAGGGAAAAGGCAGGCAGAGGACCTGGGAGGAGACGGGGGTTCCTCGCGCCATCGGTCTGCAGGCACTGCCGGAGCCTCTGGGTCCCCAGCGGAGGGAGCCACGGAGGGGCCCGGAGCCATCTGGAGACCCTGCTCTCTGCCAGGCCAGTCCCGGCTCCTCGGTGCTCGGCGTGTGGCGGTGTCTTGAGACCCTCGTCACACTGTGACTCTGGCTCCCACGGCCCTCGCGGGAAGCCGCCCTGCCTGCCGTGTCCCCCGGGAGGTTCTACCCTACGCTGTCTCCAAGCTGCCAGTCTGCCGGGGGGGGGGCCCGACCCTTTCTCGGGTGTGGGCGCCAGGCCATGTGGGGGGCCCACGGGTAGCGGCCGGAGTCCGCGGGTGGCTGGAGACGGAGGGAGCCAAGCTCGGAGGCGAGGAGCCGCTGAATCTGAGCGTGGCCCGACTCCCCCAGCCCCCACCCGCCACCCCCCAGCCCCCATCTGCGGGCGAACAATGAGGCTTCAGTCCGCCTGGGCTCCTGCGGCCGGCCGCACCTCTGAGGACAGCTCATGACCTCACTTGTGCCTGGCGGCCTCAGGGGCGCACACCACCTCCTTGTGTCAGGCCCTGCCGGAGCGGGGGACGGGGCGAAGACCAGGGCCTGCTCTGGGGAAGCCCTGCCTGTGACTGGCCCTGCCGACCCCCTGCAGGGAGCGCCGGGACTCAGTGACTCACGGCAGCTGTGTCTAAGACAGCCACTGTTCGGTGGTGGCCTCCTCGCAGGAGCCAGTCACCCCAGTCCTGCGAGGTGTGTGTGGTCGTGGAGTTCAAGTTCTTGGGGCTGGGAGACCCTCCTGGCCCTGGACTCCCCTGTGGCTCTACCGGCGGGTGAGTTCAGAGGTGTCTGTGAAGTCCAGGAGACTTCTAGAATGATCCACAGGGACAATGCTCAGGGCGGGACAACACACACGCCTGTCTCTGGTCCACGCTGGTCAGTTCCGACTCCCTGCCCAGTGGACTGCCGTCTTGTCAAAGGCAGCGCGGCTCTTGTGATCATTTCAGGGGCAAAAATACATCTGGGTTGGGGCGCTGCGTCCCTCCCCCTCGCTGTCATCAAGAGCAAGGGCGCACAATCGGCCCTTTGATATTTCCTGCTCTGCAAATGATCCCCAGCTGAAAGGCTGTGCTCTCTGGCCCCTCCCCAGGTCTCTGTCCAGCTTTGTCCATTCTTCGTGGACGCCCTGCCGCCTGGGCCCAGTGCCACCGTTTTTGGGGCCTTGTGTCGCTGGCCTGGCCTGTGGGCTCCAGCGAAGGGACATCTCTCCCCGTGAAGGACGGGTCTGGTTAGGCTCATACACACACACTGGGGAGACGAAGCTTTTCAATGTCATTCCCTCGGTTTGAGCATAAAACGGCCCATTTCCTTTTTCATTCTGGCTAATCATTCAGGGCGGCCATGCCTCGGTCAGTGATGGCCTACTAAGCGCAGCCAGGGGACGCTGGGACGCCGGGCTGCGGGGCTGCTTCCCAGCTCCCCTTGTCTGGGCCGACTCAGCCTTTTCCCACCGGTGACCCCTCCCAACAGCCACTGTTTCTGGGGTGCGGGCTCTGTGCCGGGCCACGTCTCCACGGTTCCTCATTCAAGAGTTCAACCGTTCTTAAGAGCTAACTACAGTGGTCACACGACTGTCCTGCAGACAGGGAAAGAAGAGTCGGGAAGGTTCTAGGAAGAGCCGAGTCTAGTAAGACCAGAGTCTCGTAAGCAGCGGGAACCTGGGTGCGACTTTGATCTTCAGACCCTGGGAACCTCTGTTCTTCTGACAAGTGCATCACACAGAGAGCCGCCTTCATCCATTTCTGTGGGGTAGGCGTGGCCGGGGTGGGCGGTATCCACGTGGCAGTAGGGTGGGATGGTTCAGCCGCGGCAGCCGAGACGCGGCAGGGGACGGGCTCCCCCCCACCCCCACCCCCAGCTGCAGGGGAAGGCGCAGGATGAGGGAATGGCGAGGAGGGGACACTTACGCTTGGCGAGGACCCGTCTCAGGATTGTCTGCAGCTCGAAGGCGGAGATCTCTGCATCCTGTGGGCAAGCAACGTTGTCATTGGCCGGCTCGGAGCGGCGTGATTCGCAGAGCTGCAAACGTGTGCCGGCTGCGCGCTCTGGCCCAGCCCGGGGCTGACATTGCGCAGGTCTGGGCTGGCGTCGGCGTGTGCACATTTCTAACAAGCCCCCAGGAGGCGCTGCTGCTCCCCCCACCCCCCGCCCCGACCCGGTGACCTAGATACAGTGTCTTAACGCACAACGCAATCCAGGTGGCGTTCATTCACCGGTGCTTTGCAGGAGAGACTGTAAAGGATACATTCTCCCCTCGGCCCACGTTGGTGGTCTTGACTTGGTTCTCGTGCATCTTTCGTCCCACCAGGCTGCCTTCCTCCCCCACCACCCCCAGACTCAGACCTGGCTTCCTGAGGGCTGGTTAGAACCCGCGGCCTCGGAGAGCGGGCCCAGAGCTTTCTCCGCGGCCGCTTACGCCAGGGCTCCTTGGAAGCCGTCCAGGCGTCTCTCTACTCAGTCTCACACGTCAAATGACGAGGGACAAGCCCCATCGTTTAAGACCGAGGTTGGCTTTTTCTTGGAGTTGCAGGAAGAAAAATGACGGATAACTTTGTAGCCAACTGAGGCCCACATGGCCGAGGGATTTTTTTTTTCAAGAACAGGGAAGTTGCACACACTGCTTTAAGTAAGTTGCTTGCATTCTTAACACTGAAAACCTTCCCATCTCCCCAAATCTTCTTGTGAAACTCAAGGATAAGGGGCTGAGTTTCATGTGTCAGTGGGGGTGGAAGAGAAAAAACGAAAAGAGCCGTGGGGTGTGGCCCAGAGTCCCAAGGCGGGAGAGACAGGCCCGCGCTGACTGTGAGCACCCCAGGGCCCTGGCCGGCGGCCGGTCCCGGGAGGGTGAGGGCAAGGGGTGTGCCCAGGGTCTCAGTCCCGTTCGCAGTGACTCCGGGCTGCGGTTCGGTCTGTTGCCCTCCCCTTTCAACTGGAGTCTCTGGGAGGGCGGGACGGAAGCTGGCTTCTCCTTTGTGTCAACCAGAGCTCATGATGGGGGGTTTGGGGGCCACCTACCTCTCCGGCCAGCTGGGCAAACAGCTTCCTGAACCCGTCATCAATGCTGTCCTCATCGACCTCAATCTGGAAGGTGACACAAGGCGTGCGGGACGACGGATCAGACCAGGTGGCAGCCAGGTGTGTCTCCTGGGGCAGCGCCCTCCCGCATCCCGGTCCCCTCCCTGCCTCACTCTCGGGCCTGAACCGTAAGGTTGCTGGGCGTCAGATAAAGGGCGGAGTAAAGGCGTAGAAACTTCACTCCAGTTAAAGCCCGTGAGAGGGAACGGGAACTACTCTAATTTCTCACGTAGGTGGCTTCTCCGACATTCAACCCAAAGGGCCTTTTACGTTCTGCTCTAGTGGGCATTCGAAAGCCTAAGACTGGCTGGAATGTTCCGGCAGGATCTGGACAGCGGCTGGTGAGCACAGCCCACGAGGCCCCTTGGAGCTGTGCGGTCTCTCAGCGAGGACGAGGACAAGCACGGAGCTTCAGTGACCGAGGAGCCAGCGACGACCACGCTCGCCCCACTCCTGGTGCCGGGACGGCGGGAAGAGCCCTTTCCTCTCTCTGCGGTGACTCCTCCCTCGACTTCGGACTTGGGATGACCGAGCCTCGTCTGAAATCCCCGAGTTCTGTCCATCACAGCCTCTCAGGGTTTATCACTGAATCACAGCTCCCGGGTGACCTCGGACATCTGGTCACCCAGCGCTTTCATTTTACAGAGAAACTGAGGCCCAGAGAGCAAAGTGACAAGAACCTTTCACTGGTCAGTAGAGCACCAGTGGCCCATCCTACACCCCTCCCCACCCTCCGTGCACATGGGGTCACTTGCTCCACCGGGCAGGGAGCTGCCCAGGGCCAGTGCTGGCCGGAGCTGGAGTGGGAGGCGCCTGAGCAGGCCTAGGGCAGGGCTGTGTCCATGAAGCCCCAGGAACCCCCCGCCCACACCCCTGGGGTTACTGCTGCTTCTCTGCTCCCAGTGCGGGGCAGGGGGGTGGCCCAGGACAAAGGGGTGAGGTCAGGAGCTCCCAGTACCTCTTCAGGGTTGCCCTCGATCTCGTCGTCGACGACTCTGGAAACAGAAGGAAGCTGTGTGTTATCGGAAGGGACGTGAGCGGGACGGGCCGAGCTCGGAAATCACAGCTCAGAGGCAGCAGGTCCTGGGTGTGGCCCAGTGCGGGGCAGGCAGAGTGGTCTCTCTGCAGCCCCAGTCTCTGCCCCTTCCCTACATAGCAGAAATCAGGGCAGACGTGATTGGAGGAGGAGGAGTCCTGGCTGAGCAGCTTGGAGACTCAGAGTTTGTTTGCTGGCTTTCAGTCATCAAAGCATGCAGCAGCCCCCCACTGCACTCGGGTGCTGGCACCCCAGACAACCCCCCTCGCTGCCTGGCCTGATGGAGCCACTCTTCAGCTCCATTCAAAACACTGAGAACCCGCAACGTGCACCCGGCCGCCTGGCTCCTAGGGCGGGAGCGGGCAGGCAGTGCGGAGGTCCAGCTCTGACCTATCTGGGGCTGGGCTACGGTTAGTTTCTCCCGGGCCTGTCCTGGAGCTGGTCCTTCTGCTCCACAGTGGCAGTCTTTACACTCAAGGGGGTCTTCCTCAGGCCCCTGGGACCTGAAGCTGGGCCCCAAGAGTCCTCACTGAAGAAGGAGAAAGGGTGAGGGGCCTCTGGGTGCTAACAACGTGGAATCAGGTTGATATCCTGGGACAAGGAAGGCAGAGACTCTGAGGGGTGACCGGGGCGGGGGGTGTCCCGTCGGGACAGGGAGCTCACCCCGGAGAGCAGGAGAGTCTCGGGGTTGGGGCCTCCCAGCTTTCTGCAGTGATGGGACCGGGTCCCTAGCGCGCCTGACACAGGCCACCAGACTGACAATGACCTCGTGAGCGTGCAGTGCAATTGGATTTTGCCATGTGCTCCACCACCGTGTCTAACCAAACACCTCCTGAGTGGCTATTCCTTTCGCTCGCCTGAGTGCCATGCTGGAGGTTCGTGCACACAGCAACCCCCCACACTGACCCTTCAGAGCAGGCAGGGACCCTCGGAAGAGAGGCTGACGTCCCGAGCGCCCAGAGCCCCGAGTGGGACCGGCCAGCGACCAGTGGGAGCGAGGAGGGTGGGAGGCGAGGAGGGAGAGGGCAAGGACCTACTGGTAGTCGGCCTTCTTCTCGGAGAAGACCCGGATGCAGAAGTCCCCGTCCTTGTTGGGCTCGAAGGTGGAGGGCACCACGATGTACTCCCCGGGGGGCAGCTTGAAGCGGTTGAGCACCTCCCGCAGGTTGATGAAGGTGTCGGACCGCTCCCGCGCCCGGTGCGTCAGGAAGAAGTTTTTGCTGAGGTGGATGTTGGTCTGTCCGGCCAGCTGACGGATGGACAGACACAAGGGGGAGTGGAGGGCGGGAAGGGCTCCGCCCATGTCCAGGCGTGCTAGCTCACCGAGGTGAGAGGTGGACAGTGGCGACATCTGTACCGTTTTGGGCGAATGGCAAGCTTTCCACCAGGGTGACACGTGCCCGCTGAGGCACAGGTGACAGGGGACCTGCCCTGCAGCCAACTCTGCAAGAGGTCCCTTCCTCTAAGTGACGCCCAGGGACACGTAGTGTCCACATGGCAGGAATGTGGTTCAAGTGGCAGAGCTGGGGACAGGGTCCAGCTCTGTGGTCCCGTGTCATCTCATCACCTGCAGGGCTCAGCTCGTCCCTTCGGGCCAGTTTTGGGGGCACCGCAGGGCTCGGCGAAGAGCCACCTGAGGCCAGGACCAGACTGTCCCCCCAGAGCTAACCCACGCGCGCCCCCGCCAGGCCTCGGGGAGGCGGCGGTCCCTGAGCAGACAGCCCGAGACACCGGGCCCTGCGCCCACGCCCCAGGGGGACCCAGGGCCTGAGCAGCATCACCTCGAGGGTCCAGGGACTCGCCCTTCCCAGCCACCTGCCCACGCGTCACAAGACCCCCGGGCCGACAGTCTAAGCCTTTTACTTGTTGTGGGACCTCAGCCCCAGGGACAGCAGGTGACACACGCCAGACGTACCTCCGCCGGAACCTGCGGAGATAAAGAAGCCCACGCTCAGTTCCGATTCCGGGGAGGCGTGTGCAGGCCGGCCGCCACTGCGGGCGTCTGTCTCCCTCGCTCACCCCTTTCTCTGCGGCTCCAGCGATAGCAACAAGACCAACCTAGTGATTATTTCCAAGGGACCCAGGGCATCCCCACATTTATTTAGGAGAGGACCTGATGACCCAGCAATCATGCAGATAAGCCCTAGGCACACTCCCAGTTCAGAGAGCACAGGGTGGAGGTGCGGAGCTTTGAAGTGAGTGGTCTCAGGTCACCCAGAGGCCAAGGCAAAGCCCACACCTGCCTCCCCGCAGGGAACTTGGGGCCCTGCTGCAGGAGGCAGCCCCCACCCCACGGCCAGGCGGGGGCCCTCAGGGCCGGGAGCCAGCAGCCTCAGTTGAAGGCTCTGTCGGCCGCGTCCAGTCTGTGTGTCCTTGGGTGAGTCATTTCCCCTTCCTGGCCTCTGCTTCTTTATCTCCGAAATGGGACCAGTGACCACCCAGGTCCTTCCCAGGGGCTTCTCCCCTGGGTGCTGAGCCGGGACACAGGCCCTCAGGGAATGGCGTCAGCCCTGATGGGCAGCATTTGCCAATTCCCGTGGTGTAAACACCCCCGGTTCCCCATGCGGCTGCTTTCAGGTTGCCAAGGGGCTGGGAGGAGATGGGACCACGTGACCTCCGGGAGCCACTCCACACACACCCCCCTGGTTCCACCCGAGTTCGCCCCCTTTAGCTGCCCTGCAGTCCCCCTGGACCCTGCCCCCTGCCCCCCGATCCGAGGCTGTGAGAGGCTCTGTTCCGTGCTGCAGAGTGGCGTGGGGGAGGGGCGTCCAGGGGCCCAGCCCCTCGGTCACTGTCATCTCCACCTCCACCCCCATCCCCACCCCGGAGAGGGAGAGGTGGCTGGCCCAGGGTGGCAGCCCGTGGCCTGTGGCGGAGCCGGGCTCTTCCTTAATGTGATGCAGAAAGAAAGAAGGGCACCCGGGCAGTGAGGGCGCCCGTGTGGAAACGGGGCTCCAGCCAGCGAGCCTGCGGCTCCCTGTCCCGAGCGCCAGGCCCACCGCCTGGCTGGGCTCTGCCCCACCGCCGCCGGATCGCTGGTTCAGTTCCCGCCCTCCCAGTGTTTCCTGGTGCGGGGCCAGGAAACGCTGTTCTCAGCTTCTGTTGCCTGTTTTTCGGGGATTGGTGGGCCGACCAGAGTGCCGGGTGTGGGGGCCCATGAGAAGGGCCATGAGGGTCTTTGACAGGGTGACACGGGCAACCAGCCAAGGGCTTGGGATTGGGACCCCCTGGTGACACAGAGCCAGTGCGGGGGGGGGGGGGCTCCCTGTGGCCTCGCTTTCCCTGGGCCACGCTCCCTGCCTGGGGTCCCATCTCCGGTTCTGCCCGGGGTGGGGGTGGCCGTCCTCCCGGGGGCCGCACCCCGCTCTGCCCACCTCGTAGATGCCGAAGCCGATGGTGTGCATGTCCTCGCCCATCTTCCTCTGCCGCCGCCGGTGCTTCTGGATGAGGCCCACCAGGAAGGTGCAGCCTCTCTCGCCGTTGTCCTGGTCCTCGTCCTCCTCCTCCAGCTTGATCAGGTACTGGGGGTTCATCCAGAACGTGTCTGCGCGGACGGGGCTGGGGTCAGTCGCCCGAGCAGGTGGCCTGGGCGGGGGCGGGGGGGGGGAGGGCTGTGCCCTCGTCTCCCGGAAGGAGGGGCTGAGAGGCCGGAGAAGGCGGGAGAAGGCGGCAGACCCTGGGGTGGGGGACTGGTCGGCAGCCCCTCGGGGTGGCAGCAGCGACGGTGGGCCGGGGTGGCCGGCGCTTGTCTGAATCTCTCGGGGAGAAGTTAGGAGCTTCCCTTGCAGCGCCCTCCCGTGCGCCCCAGGCTGGCGTCTCTCGGAGACCGTTTCTGCCCCCCTGGAATGGGGTGGGTAGCGCTGCGGCCCCCGGTCCTGGTACCTTCCCCTCCCCAGAGGTCTGAGATGGGCCTGGCTGAGGAGACTCGGGGACTAGCTCCCGCTCCCCCTCAGTGAGCCCAGAACATCCTTCCATTCTGTGTCCCTTGTCCTCCTGGCCTGTCCCCTTGGCCACCCCCAGGTGTCTCTGTCCTCCCCACTTCCAAACCCACTTCCAGGAGGGACCTGGGGTGCATTCACGAGTGAGGGGAGGTGGGCCGGTGGCCGTCCCTTGCCTAATGGAACAAAACTCTAATTGTGGAACCAGAGGCGCCCCCTAGTGCAGGGCCTGGCGCACGCTGGCTCTGCAGGCTGCCGGTGCCCGTTTTTGTAAATAAAGTTTTATTGGAACACAGCCATGTCCGTTCATTGAAGTATGGCTGCCTTCAGGCTGCAGCAGTGCAGGTGAGTAGTTGCCGTAGAGACCGTCTGGCCCTTAAGAGAGCGTCTGTGATCCCTGACCCAGGGGGCAGGAGAGAGAGACGTTTCTGTCTGGGGCGAGGGTCTCCCCGGTTCCTCTTGCCCTGCCCCGTGGGGGCTGCATAGTTGCGGCAAAGGATTAAAACCACTGGAGGCAGAGGCACGGTCCCAGCAGGCCCCGGGCTGACCACTCGCTCTGTGGCCCATGTTTAGAGCCTCTGTTTCCTCGTTGGTAACAGACCACCAATATCTGACCGTGACCTGCCACCGGGGCACCTAGAACACCGAACCCACAGCCCGCCAGTCCGGGCAGCCACTCGCCCTCTGCAAACCCTCGTCCTACAGACAGAGAGTAAGTACCACGAAGGGCCTGCCTCCCGAGCTGGTTGTGAGGGTGTAGTGGAATCCTGTGTACTCCTAGCCCCCGACGGTGCCCCCCTAACTGGCAGATGGCATCCTGTTTCTGAGGGCCATGGGGACAGGCGGCCTGGACCGTCAAGGCAGAAGGGCCGGGAGAGTGCACGGAGGCTGGACCAGAGGAGAAACACACCCTCACCCTGACCTAGCAGGGCCAGCGGCATGTGCCGAGTGAACTGGGCGCTGGGGTTGCTGGGCTGGGCTGGGCTGGGCTGGACACGCGCAGGCCCAGGGGACCAGGTCGCCCCGCAGGGCTGGGCTGCAGGGCTCGGGTGGATAGAGAGGCCCCCGGGTGGGAAGTGGGACTGAGCGCTGCCTCCGTGGGCTGGTGGAGAGGCCCTGGTACAGGGAACCTGGGGCGTGCAGGGGACATCACAGGCCTGGGGAGGGAGGCAGGTGAGTGCAGGGACCAGGAAAGGCTGTGGAGGTGGAGACTCAGGGAGATGGCAGGCAGAGGGCCAGTGGGCAGGAGCCGCCTCCTCTGGGCCTCCCGGCTGCGGGGGCAGCACAGCAAGGCATCCAGGCGGTCTTACTCGGGTAGTTCCTGCAGCCTCCCGCGGTGGAGCCGCGCCGCCAGTTCCCGTCCATCTTGGTGAGCTTCCACTTCTTGTAGCTGTCGCTGGTGAGGGTGTCGGGCGTGAGGTTGCAGATCTCCAGGCGGGAGTAGTGCCTCAGGAAGTCGCTGAAGGACATCCTGGCAGGGGAGGGACACGGGCATCCGGTCACGGGAGGGCACGGCCTTGACCAAGGCCAGGAGCAGCCGGGAGACGGGGCCTGGGGGCCGGGTGGCCGCTGGATCCGCAGTGAGAAGGCCCGGGTTCCGCCCCCCGTGCTGCCCCCTGGTAGCCCGGCGACTCTGAGCAAGTTCCTTAGGCCTCCTCGAATCCCAGACCTCCCTCTGTAAAAACGGGAGCCCCGAGAATGAAACGACACGACACGTGGGCGCCCGTCTGGTCAACGGGGAGTCGTCAGGGGGACGCGGTCACACGGTGGCCAGGACACACACACGTGAGGGCCCACCGCGCTCCCGAGGGGCCCAGTGTCCCAGGGCGACGTTGGGGTGAACCTCCAGAGAAACGCCCGTCTTTCCCCCGTTTCCCCTTGGGGCCTGAGCGTGCCTGCAGGGCCCTCACGGCCTCTCCGGGCGGCTGCTCGGCTCCGAACCCCACGGTGGGATGGACGCATGGAAGAGCTTGCAGAACTTATTTGTCCGGGGTCTTACAGTGACTTAGAGCAACGACAACCCCTGGATCCCTCGCCCTGGGCCCTCCACACGATACTCTCGCTGCTTTTCGAGCAAAGACGGCGGAGCAGACCCCTCCTTCCCCGAAGCCCCCCTCCCACCCCCGCGATCATCTCACCAGAATTCCCCGTCTTCACGCCTTTGGGTCAGCCGCTCCTTCTCCTCTGGGTCCACAGTGTTCCAGTTGGGGCAGCTGGAAAAAAAACCAAGGCCCCGGAGAGCCGTGAGCAAGTGATGTGGGGCGATGGCGTCTCCCCAAGGCCCCCGACACTGAGGGCCGGGGACATGCTGCTCAGGAGGGAGGTGACGCAGACAACGTGTGGCTAAGAGGTGCCGGGGAGCAGGCGGGAGATGCGTCGTCCCGGGAGGGCGTAGCGAGGGGGCGTCCAGGAAACGGACACAGCCCCTTCAGAGGGAGACGACGGGGCGCCGTGGCCGGGCCGGGACAGGCCGGCAGCAGGCACGGGGGTGTCCAGACTGCAGACCACGGGCCGCCTGCGTCCCAGGACAGCTAGGAACGCAGCCCAATGCAAAATCGTGAATTTACTTAAAACACGATGAGGTTTTTTTGTGATAACATGTCGCAGTGTATTTAACGTGTGGCCCAAGACAGCTCTTCTTCTTCCAGGGCGGCCCAGAGACGCTGAATACACGGAAAGTTTGGACGCCCCTGGTACCTCCTTGGGAGAGAACAGGAGCTTGGGGGAAGGAAGGTGTGTCCCCCCTCCCCCCGCCTCCCCGCAAGGTCCAGCAGCAGGTGAGTCTGAGCGAGGGAAAGGTGGGGTGGGAGGCGATGAGAGGACTGAGCCTGGGCCTCCCAAACGGCACCCAGATAGCTGGATGTGCTGGTTCCAAAGAGCTTTAGGGGGCCCACCTGCCCCGTGGGCCCCCCTCGGTGTGGCCTGTGCTCTCAGGGGGGCGTATTCCTCAGCACCGTGCGGGGAGCCCTCCCTCCGTCTGCCCCAGGTCTCCCGGCAGGATGCCCCTCCCAGGCCCCCGAGGTGCCCCCCTCACTTGTCGCTCCACTTCCCGGTCCACTCCACCTCTCCCCAGGGATTCCGGATGCGGATCAGCTTCTGCAGGCTTCCTCTGCTTTCCACCTGCGGGGCGGGGCAGTGGGGAGGGAGGGGGGGGTGCGTTCAGCTGGGCCTGGAGGTTCTCGGGGCCCAAGGCCTCCTCCCTGAGCAGGGGGTCTGAGTCCAGGTTATGTCTGTGTGTGTGTGTGGGGGGGGGGGTCACAAAAAGGCAGAGCCCCACCGCTCGCTGCCCACTTCAGTGGCTCCTAGGACCCAGCCCTTGGAGGATCTGGGCTCCTCAGCATCTGTCGTGAGGCTGAGGCACAAGGGCACGTATTCTAGAGCCGCACTGAGCCGCAGTTCAACTGTAACAGACGTGCTCTTGTCCTCGGGGCTCAGGGAAGCCCTGCCGCCCGTCAGGAGGACACGGGTGACAAGCAGCTGTGGTGCGTGGTTCCTGATCGGATCCTGGGGTTGGGGGGGAGCACTCTGTAACGGGTGCTTGGGGGAAAATATAATATGGACTACAGATGAGGTGATGTTATTGAATTAGTGTGTATTTTATTGGGCCTGAAAAGGACACCGGGGTTTTTACGTAAGAGAATGGAAGTGCTGTAACGCCTGCGAGCTCCGTCCAGACGGCCCGGAAGAGGGTGCCCACGCGAGGAGGGACGGGACAGACGCGGCAGAACGTCACCCGCTGGCGAGTCCAGGGCAACAGCATCTGCACGGTTCCTGCACTATTCTGTCCACTTTTCTACACACTTGAAATTTTTCAAAATGAAAAGATACGTGTGTCCAGGGCAAGGACAACAAATATCAAGGGAAAAAGAAAACCACTGGGCACATTAGAAGACCTAAGATGGAGTCTGGGTTTCGTCACTGACAGTGAACTTGGGGGCCGCTTAATACTGTTTTGTAATAATATCAGCAGCAGCAAGTACATCTGCGCGTACTTGACACAATGTTCCAGGCGCAGTCGGAGCACTTGACCAGAATCACCGCAGCGACCGCACGGTGGTGGGTATTATCATTCCCAATTTCAAGGTGAGGACACTAGGGGCAGAGTTCAAAGTAACTCGCTGGGGCCACAGAGCTGGCGAGCGGCAGAGTCAGGCTGGAACGCTAATTCGGGCAGTGACGCTTCTGGGAGGCCGAATGTGACAGCACCGGGGAGAGTATAATACACTATACAGAAGCAAAGTGTCCTGTCTTTAGTTTTAGCGGGCCCAGAGGAGTAAGGTAGTTCCGAAACTCAGCACAATCACAATCAGAGCGCCTGGCACCGGACCCGGCGGCCACCAGGGGGCGGCGTGCGCCTGCGGACCCCAAGCTCCGGAAGGAACCGGAAAGGACAGCCCAGTGAGTCCCGCCCGAACGTCAGGAATGCGCGGCCTCCGCAGAAACAGCTGTGGGAACTCGAGGGCCCCACCCTGCAGTCCCAGGCAGAGAACGACCTTGGAACCCCCCTGCAGGCATTACCTCCTCGGCTCCGGTGACGGAGTACGCGTGCCCCTTCACCAGCTTCTGGAACGTGACGGCCTCTGAGTCTGCCATACTGGTGATCTGGAAACAGGGGAAGATCAGCCCTGGCTGGCGCATCTGGCCTGCCCCCCATCGTCCCCTGCTTGCTCCCTGGGATCCGAGGGGCTGGGAGATGCGGGGCGCACACAACTGCAGGGGCGTGGCCTGGAGGGCGTGGCCCTGGGGGCGTGGCCCGGCAGGACAGAGCTGTGCTTTCCCCCTCTTGGACCACCTCCTGCTACCACTTTGAGATGCTGACCCGCGTTTACAACCAGAGCAAAGGCTAAACGCAACAACCGTTAGGGAGAAGGAGCACCTGCGTGAACGCGTGTGCATGGCGCATTCACAGATTTCTGCGGGTTGAGGAGGGCGGAGTTAGGACCCTCCAAGGAGAGCAGGTTGGTGAGCACCTGGGCTCAGGACAGTCACCAGACAGCATCAGGTGGCCCTGCACAGGGTGTCTTGGCAAATCTGAAGGTGGGCTGTGGGCAGGAAGGGTTTTGTGCCTCAACGTGGCCTTCAGAAAGAGTTTGAGAATCCCTGCCTGGCGCTGGACAGAGATCTGGGCCCTGGGAGCCAAGGCTTGTTTTCTCTGACCCACAGGGATGGGGACCTGGATAGGACAGGGCTTGGGGGTGGGCCCAGCCTTTGCCTGGAGGCTCCTTGAGGAGAGGCAGCACCCCACCTCGCTTCCCCTGGTGAGGTTTGCCGGCAAGGCTAGAACAAGGACATGGTTCCTTCTGTGCCTGGGGAAGTCTTCCCACAGGCCGTGAACCCTGTGGCGGTGCCAGAAAGGGCCGCCGGGCTCTAGGCACAGGCCCTGCAGGGAGGGGTTCCCTCAGGACCAGCAGAGGGCAGGGGACCTGTGGCCTGGGTGGTGATTCACAGGAGGCTGAGGGTGGAACATGGGCTGGAGAGGGAAGGGCTGGAGGTACCATCACCCCTTCCCTTGTACCCCAGACAGCCTGGCCGTTGCCTAGCAACCCCTGGGGTCCAGGTGATGCTCCGTAAGGTGGACAGGGATGGGCTAAGGCTGCAAATGGGGCAGCGGGTTTCCTCGGGCACTGCTGGAGGCTCCCCCAGCTGCACCGGGCCAGGCCCGGGGTCGGGAGGGCGGCCGGCACTCACGTCAATGGAGCAGCCCAGGAGGGAGCCTTTCTGCAGAGCCTTCTGGATGATCTTGAACAGGTTGGAGGGGGCCTTCCTCAGCTCATACCACTCGGCGATGCCGCCCGTGAAGTCCTCGAAGCCCTCGGTGGTGGCGCCCCCTGAGAGTGCTTCATAGCAGCCGTTGACCCTGCGGGACGGGAAGACACACCACTGCCCCCTGCTGCTGACACCATGACCTTTCATCGGGCCCCTTTCTCGATGCCTCCTTTGCTGGACACTCCAAGGACCCTCTGCTCAGGCTCTCCTGGCCTTTGTCTCCAACGCAGGGTGCCCACCAGGGCCGGAGACCATCTCCCCAGTTGCCATTTCCCTGGTCCTTTCAAAGTTCCTTAAACTCTCTAGAACCTGAGAGCTGGAAGGCCCTGCGTGATGCTCCGTTCCAGCCTCCTGCATGGATCCTTCCTGCTTCCTGACAGGAAGGGGGAGGTCTGCCCCTCAGCTATTTGGCATTTATCGCTTTACAAAGACAACGATTCAATAACGAAGGCCCTTTCCTGGAGCAGCAGGCGGCGCTTGGGGGGGGGGGCTCACTGCTCCCCACCGTCGATGTGGGCAACCTTTGGCTTCTCTAACTCTACGATTTGAGCACGTGACTTAGAAGTGGCGCTCAGGGCCAGATTCTCATGGCTGGGCCTGTGCACCCTGGCCCTCCTCCCTGGCAGGGGCCGTGAGACCAGAGATCCCCGATGCCCGAGAGCTGGTCACTTCAACGGACCGAGCCCAGGCGGCACGGCCAGGACGAGGCCATTCTGGAGGGGAGTGGACGCAGGCCTTCCCATGGACCATAGGCAGTGTGGAGCACCGGACAGCCGGACTCTGGGCCATGTGGGTGGGACACAGCTGGGAAGAGTCCGTACGCAACCATTTCTAACCAGAGACACCACCTATCCTGGGCCGGTTCCCGTCGTTCCCACGCCTCTGCCACGGGTGGTTTGGCCCACCGGCAGCAGCGCGTTGCTGGATTTAGCTGACGAAAATGTGACATGGCCTGCCAAGGAAGCCCGAGGTCCCGCTCAGGGCCGGCGCGCCCAGGGCCCCAGTCCGCTCCTGTGCGTTTGGTGCCAGTGGCAGCAGAGGCCACTGGCCAGTGCGCAGCGGCCAGCCCCGGGGCACGCATCTGAGTTCTCCTTGAACTCAGAGCCCAGGTTAGGCCACAGTCATTCTTCCACAGAACAGGCCTCCTGCTCAAGCGGCCTGTGGGTCGTTCCTGATGGTTTTCGGCATCTGGGGCAACGGGGGAGGGGTGGGTGGGGAGGGCAGGCCGTCGCAGGGAAAGGCACGGCCACTTACTTGGCGTAGGCCTTCTCCAGCAGGGCGCTCCAGAACTCGCTCCCCTCCGCAGAGTGCACGAACAGCAGCTCCCCGTCCTTGGTGGGCAGCCGGTCGTCCACCACCACCTCCACCCACTCGCCGTACTGCCAGAACTGGGGGCGAAGGAGGGGAGGGGGTGGCGTGGGGTGGGCTGGAGGAGCAGCCGGTGGCAGCATGGGGACCTCAAGCCTCAGCTGCAGCCGGCCCCCCTCAGCCTTCCCCCCCCCCCCACACAAAACCCTCTGCAGTGGAAGAGGGGGCAGCGAGGGTCAGCTGAGCCCGCCTGGGGGAGCTGCTGCTTCTCAGTCTCCTCCTGTGGGCAAGCACTCGGGCCCTGCACCTCAAGCTTTTAAAAATCCTTCCCACTCGCCACCGTAATAGGGGGACAGTGAGCAGTCCCTTAACATTCCGTCTTAGACCTCAAATGATAAACTTCTTCCAACACCTGGGAGTGGCTTCCTAAGTCAGTCTGTCCTCCCTCCCTCCCGCCTGTCCCAAGGAGCTCCCCGCTGCCATCCTCCTGGGGCCCCGAGTCGGGAGCCGGCCAGGGAGCTTGCTGCTGTTTATCTGTCCTTCGGAGAAGAGCGAGTCGTAGGAGTCTGCGGATGCTGGGGACTGATGAGTTTGGCCATGCCTGCAGACCTGTCCCTGGGCCCCCTGGACTTGTTCTTAGTCCCCCAGGACCTGTCCCTGGGCCCCTGGAACTGTCCCTAGTCCCCCCAGGACCTGTCCCTAGCCCCCGGACCTGTCCCTAGGCCCCAGAACCTGTCCCTAGTTCCCCCAGGACCTGTCCCTAGCCCCCGGACCTGTCCCTAGGCCCCAGAACCTGTCCCTAGTTCCCCCAGGACCTGTCCCTGGGCCCCAGAACTGTCCCTAGTTCTCCCAGGACCTGTCCCTGGGCCCCCAGAACCTGTCCCTAGTTCCCCCAGGACCTGTCCCTAGGCCCCCAGACCTGTCCCTGGGCCCCAGAACCTGTCCCTAGTTCCCCCAGGACCTGTCCCTGGGCCCCAGAACCTGTCCCTAGTTCCCCCAGAACCTGTCCCTAGTTCCCCCAGGACCTGTCTCTAGCCCCCAGGACCTGTCCCTGGCCCCCAGGACCTGTCCCTGGCCCCCAGACCTGCTGGGGAGAAGCGTGGGCCAGTCACTAGGTTACCTGGAAGCGGAAGATCCCTGCGTAGTTCTCCTGGAAGCTCTGGTCTAAGGGGACGACTCGGGCCAGGATTTCCTCATTCAGGGTGAGGGAGGCGATGGCCGCCAACAGCCAGCAGTCACCTGTGGACACAGCACGGGAGGCTCTCCTCAGAGGGGTCTCGGTGCCCCGGGTGGGGTGGGGGGGTTAAACGTCTGTCCTACCCCTGCGAGCTGGAAGCCTCAGCTGCGTGTGTGGCAGAGCCGTGTGGCCGAGGGCCCTGGCGTGAGGGCGGGTAGGGGCTGGGGTGGGTAGGGGCTGGGGTGAGGCAGTGCGGGCAATGCCGAGGGAGGAACGTTTAGGGTGTGACAGCGGCTGGGTGGCGGGGGGAGAGCTCATTCTCCGGAAGACCCTGAGCTGTGTGCTGGCTGGACGGTGGCCTCACAGCCTGGCCCAGGCCTGGTGCCCGAGAGACGCTCGGCCAGGAGCATCCTGGAGTGGGGGGGTCTGCTCACAGCAGGGCCTCTGGGAACACGGGGTGCGTTAAAGGTGCGTCTGAGAGAGAGGAAGGAAATGCAGAGACAGATGGGAAGTGGTTGGACATCAGACGTCTTCCGGGAGAAGGAGGCAGAGGCCAGAGAAAGACACCCGCAGGCCCCCCAAGGGCAGAAGCACCCAGAGATGCAAAGGCAAGAGCCAGGAGTCAGAGACAGCACAGAGACCGGGCTCTGGCGTCGGGGTGGGGGGGCGCAGGCACATGGGCGCAGGTCACTTCTGGGGGGTGCGCACCAGGCGGGGGGTGGGCAAGGCCTGGGGCCGTCACGGCGGCAGCTGACCAGGCAGCCTGGCCCCTCCGCAGCCTCAGCGCCCTCCTCTGAGACGTCTGGGTAACTGTGGGAGGCGTGAGGAGAGCGAGTGTGTAAGGCGCTCACGCACACTCGGCGCCCGTGACAGCGCTCAGCACCATGGCCCTCTCGAGGGGTTAGCTGGAAGCGAGCTGGCGCCAGCCACCTCCAGGCTGCTGTGCAGACAGAGAGGAAGCTCACGCCCTCCTCAAGGAATGTCCACTTTCCATGACAACAATAGGAAACGGTCTTTGATGATCTGGATGTTCACTGTTGGATTTATTTTTACTGATTGGCAAGCCTAACGAAGTATTTTTAAAGTCCACCGCGTCCCTTGCATTCTGGGTGACTACTTAGCACCCGGATGGTTTTCGAGCCGGATAGTCCCGCCCATGTTCAGAAATGATGGGCGGTGCTCTTGGAGGCCTCCACGCACCAGGGACCTGTCGCTCTGTGGTCGGGGAGGCACGCCCCCTGCCCCCAGTGAGTCAGCAACCAAAGGAAGGTGAACACATCCTCTGGCTCCTTCAGTTGGGTGGGTGCTCGGTGCTGTGATTCACCTGTTGTTTGCCGGTCATTTGCTTTCCACCCGGTAACACTGCGGTTGCTGTGAGGAACCAGCCTCCCCACATTCTCGAGCTGTGAGGTGTCGGGGTTGCTGGCTGTGCCTCCGATTCCAGGGGTGAGCCTACGGCTCTCTCTGCCTCGTTCTTTCCTGGCTCCCGTTCTCAGGGAAGGCTCTGTGACCCAGCCAGAGCCAGTGAGGTGAAACGAGACTGTTACTGGTGCCTGGGGGAGAGTGACAGGTGGCCGTGTCTGCTGCATTGACTCTGTTATGACGCGTGGTCTCCCGTCTCCCACGGCTGAAGCCACCTGGTGTCTGTGGGAGGGACAGCCTGTCTGAAAAATGGAGCCCAGTCTGCAGGAAGACAGGCTGAGAGCTGGACAGAGAAAAACCAGGTCCTGGTGGAATCACTTGCGTTCCTGGATCACGCTGTACCTGAAGCCAGAATGCCTCGGATCTTTCAGTTACAAAAATTGATCAGGTCCCTGTTTCCTTATCCATTATGCAGGACTACAAGTCCCTGCGACTTCCCTGCTAGGGGAACTTGGGCGACAGCCAGTATTTATCGAGGCCTTCTCGGTAAATATGTGCCCGCCACTATCTTAAGTGCTTCAGTTTCTTTACCTCGTTCATCCCTCACAGCAGCTCTAGGAGGATGGCACTACGACCGTCTCCATGTCAAAGCTGAGATAACAAGGCTTGGGAGGTTAAGCGCGTTGTCAACAGTCAAAGAGTTACAAGCTTAAAAGGTGTGGTATTTCTGTGAAGTCTCTGAGCCACCCTTTTCGGTCAACTCAGCCTTTCTATAAATCAAACTAGGCTTTTTTTTTTTTGCACATGTTGAGAATAAACAGTTTGTAGAGAAACTTGGCAGCGAGAGTTTCCAGCTCCGGCCGTGGGAAAGGGGCGGAGGAGCCCCTGGTGGGGTGAATGGGCGTGGAGATCGACCTAGAGGAGCTGTCTTTGCACCTGATTCCACACCTGCCCGGTACGGCCCAGGCGATCCACGAACAGGAGACCTTCAGGCCTTTCCTGAGCGTCCCCCGACCTCCCAGTTCGACCTCGTCGCACTGTCCATCTTGGAGAACAGATTCACCAGGCTCCTGGGGTCACGGGAGCCTCCTCTTCCCCGCTCTTCCCTCCTCTTCCTCTGCCCTCAGGCCTTCTCGTGACTTCAGCCCTCCTCTGGGAAGCCGGAGCTGCCTACCATTCTCATTTTTCCTGAGCTTATTTGAGCTTTTCTCGGAATCTTATAAAATGCGTGGCTTTGGGTCTGGAGGCGGAAAGCCTTGTGGGTAAGAAAAGGCATGGGTCCAAGTGACAGGGTCCCAGAGGCAGAAGTTCTTCAGCCAGTTGCCCCCACGGTCCCTGAGGGTCTCCCATCGGATCCCGGAGCTCCCCCAGAAAGGCTGCCCAGGTCTGTGTGGCTGAGGAGAAGCCATCCGAACGTGCTCCTATTCTGTTTCCCTTACTAACAAGAGTTGATACTTGTGCATTGCACGTGTGTGTGGGTACCACACAGGTGTCTGTCTGCAGGACGCGTCGACTGCCTTTGTAGTTGTGGGGGTCACAGCTGAAGGTGCCACTATTCATGGGACAATGACTGCGTGCATGAAGGACCCGCTTCAGGTAGAGGTGCTGTGTTTTTTTTTCGTGGGTCACACATGTAGGTCCCTGCTGACTGCGCACCTGTCTCAGATTACTGCTGCTCACTCCAGACGTGGGCGCTCTTGCCACGTCCCAGAAATCAGTGGCCACACCTCCTGGCTCCCAGTGCTCACGAATTTGCGTGTCATCCTTGCACGGGGGCCACGCCAGTCATCTCTGTATCATTCACGATGTCAGCGCAGGTGCCGCCGAAGGGAGCACGTGGCTTCCAGTTTTCTCCCTTCGAGTCTCAGGGGCGTTTCTCCTGACCGCCTCACCTCCCTCCGTCCTTTGGAAGGGATTGCTTTTTTCATCTTTCGCCACGTTCCCCTAACTTGTTTCCTTTGAAAGGATTCCTGATCCCTGACTGTTTCCTAGAGGAGGAACCTGTGGCTTTAAGGGACTGAGTTACTTGTTTGAGGCCAAGGAACACATCCCGGCAGGGGCCGAGAGGGGCCAGGACCTGGATGCTGGATGTCCAGCCATTGTTCTTTCCACCAGCAGGAATTTAGAAGAACAAACCAACTAACTAAACAAATAGCTAACATTTTGCAAAATACTTCACAGTTTACAAAGAATGCATTCCCCATTTTATTTGATCTTCGCAGAAATCTGGTGAGACTTCTGTCCTTACTGTTAATCATCACCTGTTGGAAACGAAGAAATCGGAACTCGGGAAGTTCGTACGCCAGCTAACTGGCAGGCCTCTCGTGCAAACCCTCCGAACCCAAAGGCTGGGTTTCGTTTAAAAACTACACCGTGTTCGAGATGTCTTTTGGTCCAGGGTATCTGATTCCTGTCACTAGGGAGAGACTCCGCTGGGAATACCCAACTGCGATTTTCCGATTTCAGCCAAAGGGGTGGCAAGCCTGCCACTTCCTGAAACCCTGCACTGTATTTTAATGCCCTCGTTTTACCAGCTCATGAAATATGAAAACGCGTCCCCTATGCAGTGCAGCGAGATGCACTGAGGCAACAGGAGCGTGGCCTGTCACCGTGCAGCCAGGACCGTGGCACTAAGGTCATGACAAAGACGAGAGGAGACGAGAGTTAGATGCACGTTGCAGCGAAGATGTGCGAAGGTTTTCATCCGCTGCCCAAACACCGGGGTTGAAGGAGACTTAGAGTTCACTGGGAGAATGGCTAAGTTTTTGCCCTGGCCAGTGTGGCTCAGTGGATTGAGCTCAAGCCTGCAAACGGTTGTGGGTTCAATTCCCGGTCAGGGCATGTGCCTGAGTTGCGGGCCAGGCCTCTCTAGTTGGGTGCCTGTGAGAGGCAGCTGATTGATGTTTCTTTCCCTCCCTTTCTCCCTCCTTTCCCCTCTCTCTAAGAATAAATAAGTTAAATCTTAAAAAAAATTCTCTATATAAAAAAAGGATGTCTAGATTTCCAGTAGGGTTGAAGTGTTTGAAATCCAGTTTTATACTTCGGATTCCTTACCTTTCTCTCTCACCCAAGCAGCGAAATGTTTTTGACTAGCTGGGGAAGTTCCATGGCAGGGCCCATGTCTTCGATCGATTTATTATCTGCTCCTACAAGCTTTCTCAGCGCCGAGATCTGGCTGCGGATCATGATCGTTTGCATTCGTGGAGACCTACTGGGTGCCAGGCGCTGTGCTCAACGCTCTCCGTGCCTCTTCGCGCTGGTTCACGGTCACAGACGCATCCAGGCGGGCAGCTGCTCTGACCGCCCTCTGCCAGAACTGAGGAACCTGCGGTGTCAGGGGGCTGGAGGCTCAGCCAAAGGGCCCGGTTAACGAGGGGCCCGTCAGGTCCGTCTGAGCAAAGCGTTTGACATCTAACCTCAATGGTCTCCGTGGCACATAGGTGTCAGTTGCTAACTCACCTGCACAGGACATGGTCTTGGGGACTTTTGTCCTTGGGGGGGTGACTCGATTATGTCTCCGTGTCTGGGCAGCACTTGCTCTCTCACTGACTTCCTGCTCACTCCGCGTGGAGGCGTGGATGGCGGTCCCCGCGGGAGGGTTCTCGGCCCCTGTGGGCACCTGCCATACAGCCTCCTCAGGAGCAGCCTCATCCAGTCCTGCCCGTTCTCGCTGAGGCCAGGCCCCCAGTCCTCCTTATCA